CTGGAATGCATCCCACACATTAGCAACTCCCTTCCAACATCTTGATCAGGTTTGAAAATTTTTAGATGTCGGGTTCCACAGTCTAGATCTGGAACCATATTTATGTGACAACGAAGAGGCAATAACGCATGAGGGTTGTGCCAAGATTTTCCACCACTAACGTGCAAACATTGCTTTGTTCATATCCCGAAGGTTTAACACACCAAGGCCTCCCTCGTCCTTTGAGTAACAAACCTATTCCCAACAAACTAGGTTGTATCCTCCCTTGTCCGCCTATTTTTTTTCCAGAGGAACTTTCTTCTAATGTTCTTGTGTCAACCCAACATAGCATCTCAAAGTAGGAAAGGAAGTATAACGGTGTAGCTGATAAAGATGCATTCAATAAACTTATTCTCCCTCCTAAAGATAGAAGTTTCCCTTTCCACCCTTCAAGTTTTTTCTCAATCCTCTCGATCATGGGAATCCAATCAAGTTTTCTCAATCTGCCAGATCTGATGGGAATTCTCAAGTATGTTAGTGAAAATTCTTTACAGGGACAACCTAAAATTTTCTCGATCAACATTGTGTTGATATTTGTATCTCGTAATAGTAATATTCGTTTACTTATGTTGAATAAGGATTTTGTAGCAAATACTAAATAGAAGGCCTCTGGGATTTGAACTGTAAAAGGCAGTTCTCATGATTAAAACTAACAACACAGAGAAAATCCATGACTGGATTTCTCCATTAGTGACAAAACTAATCATCATGTATTGTTCAATAATTCTGAAGTCTGATGATCCATTTCTCAACAAGTTAAAAAATTGGTCATTTTTTAAAAGATCAATAATTGATGCCTAACCGATCAAAAGAATAATTAAGGGATAGAGGGCTCGGTTGGTTCTAGATGTCTATATAAAATTATGGAAATAAATTTAGTTTTTAGTCACCGCTGAATCTAGTGGTATGGCATTGAAAGTAAAGAGAAAGTGGTAGATTGAAAAGGAAACAAAGTGGAAAAGATGACGTGGTTTCTCTAGTTCAAGTTAAGAGTTGGGGATCATCTCCCTACAATTGAACTGAAACGCAGTAAGAGAAATTCAACTTAAAATTTTGAAACAAGCTTAATTTTCTTAGGCACTTTCAAGTTTTATAAATTTTGTTTAATACAAATTTTCTCAAGTTGTTTATGTAAATTGTACTATTAGTTCAAATATCAAATGATTTTAATGATTAATGTAACATAAGTTGCATCATTGTATATTTTCATTAGAACCTAATATAATATTTATCAATTATAAAAAAACACATTAAAAAATTATAAGCTGATTTTTTACTTTTTTTAATTTTTATAATTTTCCAAATTAGTTTAATCTTTTTATCATTGTAAATACCTGAAACTGATACCTGATGATCCATAGTTGCTTTGGTGGTATATGGGAAGGGCGTGGTACTGGTATTATTGTCAAGATTTCAAACGTTCGGTCAGATAGCCCCCATTTACTTAATTTGTCATATACTGATTGATATTTGAAACCTTTGACAAGGTAGCCGCATATTTATTGCTATCATCTTATGAATGACTTCTTGTCTTATCGTCGGATTCCCTTTTATTTCTTTATTGTAGTGTTAGATATAAACATGGGATTTTTGGCTTCTCTAGCTCAGCACCCTTTCTGTTGATTATCATTGTTTCTGATTACTGTTGTTTCTTGTTACTGTTTTCTTCTTCTTTTAAGTAAAAACTTCTATGATCCTGTTAGTATCTTTCATGTTTTGCTTAAATTCCTTAGCATTCATACATGAGTTCAAGGTGTCTTTTAGACTTGGTTTCTTACTCTTAAAGGCGAAATTTCATCTATCATGTATAAATGTAGGATGGTTGTTCTGGCAATGGAGTTAACAGAGATTATATTCTTCGTGATGAAAGACGCCTTACAGAGCTTGGGCGCAGGACTCTGGAAATCTTTATTTTAGCCCATATATTCAGGTAATGCACATAGCTTCTTGCAATATTGTTCCTAAGTGAACTTCAGCATCCTTACTTTACCATATCCACATCTACGTTTGATTGAACGTGTCACAGAGGTTAATCAGTTAAATTTCTTCTTCCCCAATAGAGTCTTTCGTGTTTGGTGACGTATTCTGGTCGCTAAACTGTGATTGAAGAATGATAACAGAAAATCAAAATCAATAATTTTATAGATCCATAACTTTAAACTGGATAGTACTATTTCACTCTATATTTTATAGATACATAACTTTAAACTGGTTGGTGCTATTTCACTCATTCTATAGTTTAACTATAGAGTTTTCTTGCCCATGCATATAAACCAAATTTTAGCTGAATAGACTATTTCACCCAAATAAGTTTTGATCTGATTTTTTGTGCATAAGTACCAAATTTAGGCAATGTTAAGCTTCCTGTCCATGCATTAAGCATCTGCAAAACGAATAACTAAAATAAGCAAGATCCTTAGTTTTATGGTTGAGAATGTTTCAAGTCAACAGAATTACGAGTTTTTTAAGTGTCTCTTTCATGATTTGAGATTTAGATTTTCAGCTTTCATGCCACAAACCTACAGATCTAAGCAACTAACTGTTTTTGGCAGTTCATTTTGCGGCTATTTGATGTATGAGTAAGGAAAAAAAAATTGCATAAGAAACATCAAATCATCCATTTTTTCCCAATGATTTCGAAAAGATAGATTCCTACTTCAATGTAATGGGCCTTCAACATGCCTTCAAAATAGACACCCATCATTGATTACAATGAGAGCAGTCTGGGATTCATGTCATATTTACTCATCCACATGATTTAAAGCAAATAGAGGATAAGGATAGGTACATGAGCTTTCCCAAATCAGCTGGTTCTCTCTCTTATTCTCTCCTCTGTATGTATGTTAATATTGATATTAATATATCTGTATGCGTATACGTACAGATATGGCCAAGAACAATGAAATGAAAATAACTGTCTCCTTTTACCATTCTGGATGTTTCCTCGCCTTATTTTATTTGGATCCATATTCTTTGGGTCTGTGTTTGAGGGGATTGACCTGATCCATATTCTGTGGATACTGCTCGACAGATGTCTGAGATATATGATCTGTAGCTTTATGAGATACTAACTTATTCTTGAAGATTGATTTGAAGTATTGGTGCTTCACATACCATTAACTTCCTACAGATTTCAACACATGCATATGTATGATATATACATGTATAGATACATCTACGTGTGCATACATACATACATACATACATACATAGTTGCAGTTAGAAAACTGTTTATAATCTAACTAAATCAAATTATTGTTTTCATCAGCTATCAAATTCTTAGAGGCATGCTCCCCGTTGTGTGATTCTTGATTGTTTTGGCTCATATTTCATGATGACATATATGTCGTGATGACATTCGTTCTGCTTCTTGAATTTTGATCTAAAAATGAAATGGGACTTCCATGATGTATAGATTTTCATAATCTGTATTTCCCTCGTTTTGTTCGATAATTTTGTTTCCAACGTATTTGTCTTGTGCAGTGGAATTGAAATAGCCTACCAGGAAGCTGTTGCGCTAAAGAGACAGGAGGAACTTATTCGTGAGGAGGAGGAAGCAGAGCTTGCTGAAAATGAGAAGAGGGAAAAGAGAGCAAAGAAAAAGCAGGTGACTTGCAATCCTTCAATTTAAATTTTTGTTTGATTGTTGATTTGTCTCTGTGAGGATCTATACATGATGGTTATACCTGTAGTCCTTCATAGTCTGTTTGCTTGAATATTAGTTACCGAGACACCTTCATGATGGTTATACCTTGCTTTTGTGCTCCAGTAGAAAGCAACGATTTGTTGATCATTATCTTTCATGCACAGGATGCAAATTAATTGCTTGAAATGAAGGTTACTAATGTACTTTGTCTGCCCTAGGTGGTCCCTCAAACTGCTTTATTATGGTTTTTCGCCTGATGCTCAGAATCCTATATTTTGTATATTTCATTGGGCTAAAAAGACCATTTACTCATGAAAAAAGGAAACAAAAAGTAATTGATCATGTAAATCATTTGCAAAATTGATAGTAAAGGAGCAACATGTTTAATAACTATTAAAAGCAATAATTTGCTTGTAATAAATTAAGTGCAAGCAACTGGTTGGGGTTTCATTAGTGGGGTGTTTGATGATCAAGCTAGCACAGTCGAGGCAAGTGTGCATCAATAACTTTCCATTTTAATAGTTTAGAAAGCATATTGGGTTTAGTTTTCTGTAGGTTCATCTTGTTCTTTCTCAGTATGTTCTTCCACTTGTGCTTGGTACGGTAAAATTAGAGTAGCTCTTTGTTTGCATGACAATAAATTCTCCTGGATTTGTCTACCAATCAACTTACTCACATGAGCTTTTAACAAGGGAACTTTTCCCCGCTAATAATGTCTTTGGCTGGGATTTCGACATTAGCTCAGAAAGATGTTATTTGATAGCTTACCCATTTTGATGGAAAAGGAGCACATATCTATCT